CTTTTAACGATTCGAACACATTCAGTAAATAAAACACGAGATAGTTCCCCGTATATTATTAGTCATGGAACACTTTTTAGGGCCTGAATATGCCTAAGATTAAAACATAAATGATATTAGAAACAGTTGCCTTAAATGACATATCGCATAAAAGCGTAAACATACGAAAGATAAACCTGAACCTCGCTCTTCTTAGCCATGACCCTATTAATTATATGAAAGCATATCAATATTAAAGCTTAAACTCGATATTGTTTTCTATGGTAGTAGTGTAGATTTTCTATATTATATTTCTGTTGCTAGAGTAAGACGATCGGGTAAAAATGTTCATGTTATCCTATATTGCTAAGAGATATTTCTTAGAATCATGTCATATAATCACGTAGAATTATAATACATTACATATCCACAAAACCAATGGGAAATGAAAAGAAAACACGTACATGCAAAAAATAAAATAATACGACGGAAAAACGTAACACTAAACGAGTGACTACTGCACTACTAACCTATAACACTTGATTTTGGTTAAGGAAAAAAATCACGTGAACCCTGCACATTTTCTCAAAATAAGTGATACAAATTTTGCTTAATTCAGATTAGCAAAAATAGTTGGATACGTATAAGTTATGGTAGCCTGATGTAGCCCCTTAAAAGCTTGCCGTAAACCCCTTCAATTTACCTCTGCATTTAAGCAATTTTAACCCTAAGAGCCTTAAGAAATAAGTAGCGTTATGCTTTCTTTGTGTCTTGTCATTTTGGAATCTGTCTTAGTAAAACGTAAAAAGTAAACAAATATTCCTCTTAGAAACCGAGAGAAACCTAAAAGTAGTTTGACAATGAATATTAAAGTCAAGCACTTCAAGTGAAAATAACACGAAGAGGAAAACTATATAATGGTAGAACAATATAATGCCAAAAAAACAATCGAAAATGAATGAATTCTACCTTTCCATCCACAGAAGAAAATAAAAGTGAATGAATAATGTAATGCGTAGTAAGAATCAATCATTTTCAGGTATGAAGTTACACCATGTCATAAAACAGATAAAACCAATCTAAATCAATCTTTCTTTTTGTCAAAACATGTGGAAACAAACAGACAAAATAAATTGCTATAGCTCCCTTTCTTCAAAATCATATCTTCAGAAATTCTTCAAACTCCTATCCATATAGATATATAGATAGATAAATAGACAGAGTGACTGAAACATAAAATTCATCATATTCCAATGAGAGAGACCAATAATTTTTTGAAGCTTGCCTTGTAACGGAATTCGAGTTAAATGAAACACAAATTGTGAAAACATCTTTTAAAAATAGCTATTTTAAAATTTGTACTTTCCCCATCGCTTTTTAATATTTGATTAAATTATCTCGTGTAGGATGAAATGCTATAGGGTGCAAAATGTGCAATTTAAACAAGTTTTTGTTTTAGAAGTTGAAAAAAATATCAGTTGGGCGTTAGTGTCAATAGTGACGAGTTGAAAGAACGTTGTTCCTTCATTTGAAAATTATTTTTGGTTTAATTTAGTTTAAACACTTGAAAATAGTGAGTGTGTTTATCATAATTCTGTGTAATGTTATATAAGGAACATTTTGTGAAATGAAATAGCCTTGAATTGTGTTTGTAAAAGACGTATTTGAAGGAAATATCATTGGTGCTTCTGATACACAAAAAATATGATTTCTTTGTGGCAGTTCGTAACTTCTTTTGCTTAATGTGCCTTGTAATATCTTTAAAATATCCAAAATAGTGAAGGAAAACTAAGAAAAGAAATGCACACATCGAACCAATAATCACAGAATCGTAAAATTAGTTTTTTTCCCCTGAAATGTTCGTTAAGAAAATAAAACCATGCGGTTCCCAGAGTCAAGGTGGAAACAAAGGAAAAAAAAATTGGACATCCATTATATAAGGTAAGTCAACTATGATGTACATTATATACCATAATTTAAGTAAGTCTTCCTCTAATTTTCACCAATATCGTCGTTATATTTGAGAAAGCGTAACGCAAATAAGTGATTATATAAAATACGTTATAATCATAATTTCGGGCGGTAATTTTCTGTATTACGTCCGCATAACCGATATCGACGATTTTTGTATCGTTGGATTCCTCTTACTCTATACAATGCAAATGTGTAGGTTTTATTGCTCGGAAACCCCCGAGCAGGGAAAATGCGGGCTTAAATAACACTTATAATATAACGCACAGTGAAAATAACCATGGTTATTCATATGATTTTCTTTTGGCTGCGCCCTGGACCCCCTGGGGGGCTGCCGCCCCCCAACCCCCGCCGAGGAAACAAAACCTCCACCACGTATTTCCGGCAGGCTAGAACGTTACACAATCATCGTCGATGTCGGAGGGTTTTGCGCCTCTTTCGATGTTGCACCGATGGCCTCAAGGTCGAGTTTCCCGTCCTCTGGAATAACGACATCCGTATTCCTAACCGAAATAACCGTCGCGTTCAGCAGTCCGCCATAGCCGCCGCGATGGCCGAGTGTGGAGGGTGCTCGTACTCGGAGACGGATTTCCTGCGCGAAATATCGACCAGCCAGGAAGAAATGTTAGAGATGTGCTTCCGCCACGGCCTCCTCCGTCGGGAGAGAGCCTGCGGCAGGTGCGGGCAGCCAGCACGCTGGACCTGAAAAAGAAAAGATTCAGGTGTGATAGGGTCGTGGCGATCAAGAAGCAGAAGAGGC